GAGTGAAATATATGGTGAATTTCAGAATTTGTCTTCTTCTCTTTATAGTCTTCTCTTCTTTTTCTTCTTCTTCTTTCTTCTTTTTTTTTTTTTTTGTTTTTACGTTGGTGGCATAATGAGAGACAATTCTCGTTCAGTCATTATCTCACTTCATTCATATATTATATGATTTGAATTTATAATTTATTATTTTTTAAAAAAAATTATCATTAAATTATTTAAAATATTGATTGTAATCTTTTTTTTTAATAATAATAATAACTAATGAAAATCCATTTAGAGCCAAGTTCGACAAAAGAAAGGTCAACAAATACGTTTTAGATCTGTTACCCTCGTGATAATTAACTTGTTTTGCGCAGCAAAAAAGTGCGTAAAATCCTTCTTTTTATTATTATTATTATTATTACTAGTTTACATAGACAAACATAATATATTACTTAAAAGCACATAGTGCTAGTTTGTTACATGCATAATATATGACTTATTAAAATAGCATTCACTGAATGAATATAGGCTGTCCATCCAAAGAAGAAGAAGAAGAAAAAAAAGAATACAGTTTGAAGGAAATGTGGATGTTAGGAGAGGAGCAAAGAGAAAGGGAAATTTGAGAGCAAAACAAATTTTTTCCCTCAATCTTGTTGAATTGAATTTTTGTACAGTTGCAGGACTTGGGGTTTTAAGTTTAGAAGCAGCGTTGTGCTTTAGATATGTGTTGACATGAAAAAAGAATTTTTTTTTCCCCAAAGTTTTTTTTTTTTATCTTGATTGTACAGTAAAAAATAAATCATCTCTCATTATTTATCTCATCCTACCTGCATGCCATGCAATTCGAACTCAAAACCTCTTATTTTCAGTGCAAAGAAATGATTACTAAATTATTTAAGTCGTTGATTTTTCTCCAAAGATTTAAACTGTAAAGAGAAATTACACCATATGAAAATTCAATTCCAAATATCATACTATAAATGGAATAGGAAAGTAAATATATACCGGAAGAAATATGGAATTAAGTTTCCTTTTTTCCTTATATTTCTTTTTCATTTTGATTCTTTATAGATTCCCTTATTCTTGCCTTAAACAATTTTACCAAGAGTTAAATATGGATAAAGAATTTGTCCTTTTTCTTCACAGATGCAGCTTGTCTTTTCTAAATATGGTAATATTATAATT